TATATATATATATATATATATATATATATATATATATATATATATATATATATATATATATATATATATATATATATATATATATATATATATATATATATATATATATATATATATATATATATATATATATATATATTTTTTTTTTTTTTTTTTGTTAAAAATGTTTATTTAGCATTTTATATGCATATAATGTTGTATTTTATCAAATTAAAAAATCTACATGTTTTTATGAATTTATTATGTATCATATTGATTCATCAGGCCTTTTGGTAAAAAAATATCTTTAATTTATTGATGGAAATATTTTCCACATTTTATCACTTGCCTGTTATAAAATATAGTTGGATTGAAAAAGGGGCGCGCAAAAGTTGAAGCCGCATACCCATCAGTAAATGTGCAGTTGCGCCCCTGCACCTATATATGTGTATATAACATCAATTCCAAATACACTGATTTCTGTAGGATGTATTTGCTTGACTCAGAAGGACTAGGGAACATCCTCCACTCCTCGACTAAGCTGTCTATAAATAAAAGAGAAGAGAGAAGGATGACAGAGGGATAAAGGGGGGAGGTTAAAGAGGCTGCAGGTAAAGTACATTTCCCCTTATCCTTTGCTTTCTCGGTGCCAGACACGGTCAAATGTGTGCTTGTACTTTTTAGAATGTGCCTGCGACTTGGACAAACTCTGACACTCCTCCCTCTCTGTCTTTAGCCATGTGTCTGACTATGATGAGCATGGCAGCATGTGCACTGTTGTCATGGCTGGTGAGTAAAGAGTGTTTCCCTGTAGAGTAGTGTACATTCAACACCAATTTATTCACTGAAAAACTTATGAAAAACCTGCTGCTTACATTAAACATGATAATTACTGCATATTTTACCGTGCAATATGATGTATTTTGAAGTGAAACAAACAAAAACAATTATAGGGATTTGATTGGATTGTGAAAAGTGGACAAAGTGTCTGAATAGCTGTTTGACTAATGGTTAACACAGGATTTCTGCAGGTTTCACAGAGTTAAATGTAAGACTTTTAAAAACATTTTTAAGATCATTATGAATGAAATTTAAGACTCATGAAGTGCTAAAGGCTATATATTTCAAATGACCTAGATGGAAAAGATTTTTATTTGACCAAACAAAAGAAATTATAATTTAATATTTATAATACATTAATAATCAACAATTAAATATTTTAGATTTTATGTCTTAGCTAAATATTTTAAATATTGTGTAAAACATGCAAACTCTACTTGTTTCATACACTTTTTATCCCAACATAAACTTCGTTAAAATAAAAAAATGAGCAAATGTTTTAAAAGGTTTAAAAACGATAATAAACTAAATCTATGGACAACAATCTGTCCAGGTCGGTGTCATCAGCAGTAAATACATGGATAACTTTTAAACAAATGTTATTGTAAGGAAAATAATTAAACTGTTATGATGTTGAACTGTTATAAGAGTTTAAAATTACCTTTTTAAATAAAAAGTTTAAAATTTTATTGAGATAATTGTTGGTGATTGTATGGGTTTTGGCCAGATTGGGTAGCAATACATGAACAAAGGTAAATTAAGACCTGTTTAAAAACGTTTTAAGACCTACAACACAGTAATTCATTAAATGTAAGACTTTTTAAGGCCCAAAGTTTGGATTTTGAGATTTATGACATTTTAAGACTTTTTAAGACCCTGCAGAAACCCTGTAACAGTATCCAACAGCCTACATGGCCTTGGCGACGTCAGCAGAAAAGAGTTGTTGTGGAGGGAGAGCCAGTTACTAAACTGTGGGGAAAATAAGTATTGAACACATCATGTTTTTTTTTTTTTCAGGGAATGATATTTCTAAAGGAGCTGGAATTGAGCCAGATTTTGGTAAAAATTCAAACATAAAAATAAAACAAAAAAATTTTAAAATCTGAAAATTTCGGTATGTGTAATAACAACTAAGGAGAAAGTACTGAACTAATGCTAAATTTAATACTTTATGTAAAAGACTTTTTTAATGATGGCAGCTTAAAGACACCTCTAATATGGAGAATGAAGTGAAATGCATTGCTCAGGTGTGATTTTTTTTTTCTCACAGACAGAGATCTTGATGGTTCTGTAGGTCTCGTTGTTCAAATCTGATCTTTATTTTATATTGGATTAAAGTCAGGTGATTGGATGGGCCATTCTATAGCTTGATTTCCTTTCTCTGAAACCATTTGAGAAATTGCTTGGCTGTGTTTTGAGTCATTGTCTTGTTGAAATGTCCACTCTGGTTTCATCTTCATCATCCTGCTACTGTGAATGCTGGAGTGAAGCAGCTAACATTAATTTACAATGACAAAGGGTAGAGGATGCTGAATAAGATCTGAGAGATTTCAGCTCCTGTCTGGGATTTCGCTGCCTTTCTATGCCTCCCTTGCTTCATGTGTTCAATACTTTTTTTCCTGTGTCATTTCATTTCATTACACATAACTTCAACTAAAAAACAAAGTAGATTAGTTTTTTGTTTGTTTGTTTGCATATAGGGATTTCTTGAGTTGCTATCTTGCTATCAACATCCAGTGAAAATTTTAAGTTAACAGCACCTTTAGAAATATGTTTTCTGAGAAAAATGGTGAGATATTTAATATTTCCCCGCTGTATGGTGATTACAATATCATGTCAATATCATAAAATTTTTACACCAGGTGTGTGTAATAAGAAACTTTTATGTTTAACGCCATGTTGACTTACGACACATTTATTAAAAAGGTTGTGTTTCTGCTTAAGGTGAGACTGCAGCCAAAAAAAAAGTGACTTCATGATCCTGTCTTTTCTGAGATTCCAAGCTTTTTGGCTTTTCTTAGTGTGTTTTTTCAGTCTAATGTGAAAAATTGAATTTTATCAATCTGTGTCTGTATAATTCAATTACAAAAAAAAAAAAATTTCTACTATAAACTATAAATCTCTTCTTCAGCAGGACTTTCAGAACTGTATAAATTAAGCTCTACAGTTTTGTTCATCTATTGAGAAAGACAAAAAACAAACAAAACAAAAAACAGTCTTATTTAATTAACTGGGAAAGTATAACAAAACCTTTTTCATGTGTAGTGTCTTTGCTTAGCGTTTTATTTTTAGATGTACAATGTAAAGTACTTTGAGGACTAGGAGCAGTTGAGATAACCAGGGCCTCAGGATCGTATTGCAGATTACTCCTCATATTACTGATGGCACACAGAGCAGTGCTAATCTGTCACCATTTGAGAGGGATTAGCTCAGATATGACGTCGAGTGAGCTGTCCACAGTGACAAATGTTTGGGAACTATTTGATATTTGTAAAACCAACCTTGTGGCATAGCACCTGAAAACATTTTATCTTGCATCGGCTTAGTCCCTTTAATTATCAGGGGTCGCCACAGAGGAATGAACCACCAATTTATCCAGCATATTTTTTTACACAGTGGATGCACTTCCAGCTGCAACCCAGTACTGGGAAACACCCATACACTCTTGCATTCTGAAATGTAATTAATGAAATACATATGGTGAGCTCATATTAAATTTTATTATAGTTTAAATGATTTAAAACATCTTTTCTCTTTACAGAACAACAAGACAATCATCTTGTGTAAAAACATGAATATTTTTACGTAAGTCATTATTTTAGCCCCAACTGTTTGCATGTTATCTTTGTTTTCATGTGGGTTTCCTCTGGGTGCTCTGGTTTTCCCCACAGTCCAAAGACATGCAGTACAGGTGAATAGAACAGGCCAGTGGTTCTCAGACTATTTTCATCGACTACCACCTCAGAAATAAATTGTCCCTCCAAGTACCACGATAACGACCGGTATTGAAATCAAGTAACGTAGTAGGCCCAGTAAAACAGCTACAGCTCTGACAGTTTAAAAATGTGGCAGATTAACCACTATTATTAAGAAAATAATTTTTATTATCAGCCACTTTAAACATTATAAATACATTTGAACATTAACACTGTACTGTGTCTAAAAAAAACAAACAAACAAAATAAAATGTCAACGTT